TTTTGGGGTTGGTGAGGGGAAAACGTGCTTTTGCATGTAACAAGGGTGAATGTTTGCACTAGAGCTCAGCCGTGCATCTGCGTCCGATGCCAGAACCCTGGGAACACAAACAGTTTGGGAAAATGTAATAAAAGAGGGAAGCTGTTCTGAGTAGGTGCAGAGAGAGAGAGAGAGAGAGAGAGAAGGCTGCTTTTGTCTCCCCATGATCCCCACAGGATCGAAAGGAAGGACTCAGAGGATGGTGTGGATGGGCGCCTTCTGTGTCCTTCCCCCAAAGCGAAGCACTCTGCACATGTTCTGAGTATCCCTACTTCGGTGTTTCAGAGTGGAGAGCCACCCCTCGGCATCTTTCAGGGGGAGCACAAACATCAGAAGGGCAGCTGCAGATAGGCTCTGCAGGATTCCAGTCGTGACCCCTGCTAGGGAAAGAGGCTCCAGTTTAAGGGCACAGGGAGGGAATCGAACTCCCATCCCTCTGGCTTCACGCAGCTGTCCAGCCGGTGTGTCTTGTTAGATAGCACGCCTGTCTTTTAGTGCTCTGTCGACGTGTTCTTCCACCTTGTTCCTTGTGAGAAGATGGGGGGGGAAGGGTTCCTTGGAGGGGACGCTGTGGTGTTCCTTCCCTCTCGCCCTTCCACAGAGGGTCAGCTGCGAGATATGGGGAAGGTTAAAATCCCAAGAGAGATGCCGTTACACAACAGCTGGGTTGGGTGCAGGGGTTTCTCTCGCTGTGTGTTTGGCCTCAGGCTCAAGGCAGGCCAGGCAGTAAACCAGATAAAGCTGACAGCAGTCTGATACACAATGGAACACAGATGCTGAAGGCCTTGAAAAACTCCCAAGCCACTGATATTTTAAAAAAATAAAATAACGGACAACCCTGCCTTTCCCCTTGAGAGTATGGACAGATTGTAGCAGTCCCCCCCTAAGCTCTGTGATATGCCCGGATACCTCTCGGCTGTCCTCCCTCTGGGCCTCCCCACACCCTACATCTGCGAGGATGGTGGGACAGAGTGTGGTGGGGGGTGGGGGTGGGGGACAGAATGTTGTAAAGGCAATTGGATAAGCCAACTAGAGAAGCGCAGGTTTGCAAAAGTGTTCTGCCCCCCCATCCCCTGCTTTGCTCTTGGCATCTCTTGGGATCATTTTTTAAGAAACACAGAGGCTGAAGCTTCTCTGCTTTGCTTTTCTCAACCCCCCCCACACACACACACCATTCGGTGCAATCTTACAGCTGTGGTGCCCAGGGGGGTGGGTGGCCTGGGAGAAGGAACGGAGAGGAAGAATCTGAAATATTCCTTTTCAAGTGACGACAGTTTATTTTGAAGTGTTTACATTAATGGGGATTCCTGGAAAGTTGGCCATTTGCAAAGCTGCAGCACAGCGCTACTGCTGAGAGTCCCTGGAGAAGGGAAGGGTCTGTGAGGGGACATCCTTAAAAAGGCACTTGGGTGGGACTACAGTTCCCAGAATCCCCACAGTGGCTGGTGGGTCTAGGAAACAGGATTCCAACCCTTCCCCCCCCAAAAAACCCCACCTCCCAGATATTTTTTCCTCCACCTCTCCAATCCGTGCATGCTTGTGTGTTTGGAGCAAGAATTGTGCGATACCTTTGGTGTGAGTC